AGATATTTTTCACACACACCCATGTCACCCATAGTGAATAGTCCGTCATTAGCCAATAGACCTATCAGCTGCAATCAATCGAAGGATCAGGGTTTCCACGTGGTTAGAAGCTTCTGTTTGGTTGAATAGGGAGGTCGTTTTTAAATCCTTTCTGACGAAAAGACCGGCTAACGCTGCATGGTGAAGGAAGAAGCCTTGTGTTTTCAGCCTGATGTTCTCGACTCCTTTGTTCTCGACTCCTTTGTGCAAGGACGCTACCAGCAGCTCCTGGCCTTACTACTAGTAACAAGAAGCTGCTAGGAACAAGGGGCATCGCTACTAGGAGCAAGGACGCTGATTCAAGGACGGGCATTAGGTCTGGGCCACACATGATGGGCAACTCACAAAAAAGGGCTTGAAGCTATTACTATTACAAAGAAAGGAGGGCCTGAAATAAGAATCCTATCTAGTCGTCTTCAAATCTGAGTTGCCCTGTTTAGGACGAGCGTGGCACATTCTGTGGGAGCTTTGATTCAAAGGACAGTCAATGAGTCCATGGTGGTTTGAGAAATCCTTGAAACTTGAAACATTGCCCGTTGTTTTGAGAGCTTTTGCTCTGTTTGGGACTCGCAGAAAAGGATGCTGTGGCACACCCTTCCGCTGTGAGGATGGCGCAAGTCGCCTTCTTGACCCGTGATGTACCGCCCAGCATGTGAGAAACGGCCTTTGCCCACGTGTGGGGGTGCCACGCAAGGAAGACCACGCAGCCTTACTGGATCCTTTTTCTGTTGCAGTTATCAGTTATCATGTTAGTCTGCTGCCTGGGTGTATCAGAGTCTATCAATCCATTCAATCCAGAGAACATGCTTCAAAGCCTTTTCATGGCTCAGACATGTTGCTGATAGAATCTCGTCGAACAATCCAATATCCATCCCGGCTCCGCGGCATCTAGATCTTTTTTTCCAGCCATGGAGGAGGCTTGCTTTCTTCAATTGAATTCGACTATTGCGATCTCCAGAGCCTCTCATCAGCTTACCAAAGGAATATTGGAGGGTTTTGTGAGTCTTGGCCAAGAGTATGGCTGGATTTGCAAAGCAGTGGTGCTCATTAGCTACTTTGGTTTGGCAGTACTTCTACTGGCCTTCTTGTGTTTTGGTTGCCCCGAAAAGCGTCCAAAGGATCCAAAGATGGTGGGCAGCACGATGTTGACGGTGTACCTGGGAGCCGTCAACGGACTCTTGTACGTTGCCACCGACCAGTATATTCCAAGCTTGCCCCGCATGGAAGTGGAATTGTCCGGATCTGAGACAATTCTTTCTGGTTCGGTGCAGCTGAATCTCCTTTCCAAGGCTTTTGTAAGCCTTCTTGTGGCGCCCTTGTCCGATCAGATTGGAAGGAAACCCATCCTATTGACATGTGCAATACTGATGATCTTGGGGTCGTTTGGCTGTGCCCTGGCTCCGAATGTCTACTGGTTCATTTCTGCCAGAATCATTCAATCACTGGGCGAATCTCTTGAGCCTTTGACCTCTGCGATTGTTCGCGACTGCTACCCAGATCCGGGTGAAAGGCTGGCAGCCTTGTCAGTGGTTGGAGGAATGCTTATGCTTGGGACTGCTGTAGGGCCAGTTCTAGGAGGACTTGTTGCCTCTGTTTGTCATTGGAGAGTGCCCTTCTTTGTTTTGTCTCTGGCTTGGGCAGGATTGGCACACTATGCTGCCATTTACATTCGGGAAACCGGCATTGATGTGAAATCTCCATCGAGCTACTGGCATAGTGTCAAGCGCGTGTTTTGCAATCAACAACTTTTGATGTTGCTCCTTGCTGAGTCTTGTATCCAGTGCGGGTATTTTACATTCAATGCCAACGCCAGCTATCTCACAGAAGCTGTTTACGGTAAGAGTACGGCGGCAACATCTGTGCTGATGGGGATATTTGTCTTATGCTCCGCCATTGGGCTGATGATGATTATGAGCTCGACCCAGCCTGTGTTGTCAACTGCAAAGATTTGGATGACAGCCTACAGTCTGGGAGCTGGCTTGCTGCTTGTGATTGCCGCTTTTTGCTCTGACCGCTTGTGGGTCTACCTTGGAAGCTCCTTTTTGATGGGGTTCCTCTTGCCTTGCTATGTACCTCTTACCGTTCTCTACCTTGACCCTGTCGAGGATATTGCAGGTACAGCCGCCTCTTTTGAAATCTTCTTTCAATCAGGGCCCTCTGCCGTCTATTCAGGCTTAGCGACTCAAGGTCTCATCGGCGATGGTCAGCGGGGGCTGACGTGGTTTCAAGCTGGAAGCACTGTGCTCGCAGGAGCTGTGTTCTGGCTTGGTTATGGCTCAACCGCAAAAGAGCCGGATAGTGAGCGTGTTTTTGAGGACGAGTTGGACAAATCAACGTGAGCAAGGGCAGAGAAATAGTTCCTCGATGTTCCTCGTTCATGCAGTCTTGAGGATCTTGAGGGTTCGTAGGAGAGCTTCAGCACCAACCAGAGTTGGGGGTTACATATTTCATTCATATGCTGCCACAGCATTTCCATAACATGCTGGGTGAAGGATCGAAGACAACTATACAGATAGAAGCCAATGCAAGACCCGATCAGCGATACAGAAGATCAGTCCGTAGTCATTCTCCAAATATCATCCATGGTACACATACATACATACATACATACGTACGTACGTACGTACGTACATACCATACCATACCATTACATTACATTACATCACATTACATGGCTCAAGGACATAAGCTGCTCAAGCAGGCAGCCCAGGAAGACCTGCTCGTGCGCAAATCCCCTTGCGTGCATAGCGGGGACAAGTCCTACAGCCTGGAGCAGGGACAAGCTCAAGTACCCCCGTTCTTTGCTCGCAACAGCCGAGACCTTGAACCTCGCTTCTGTCGAGCTCTACGGTGGCTGGCACTTGATCGCCCTGGACATCAACTAGGTGATCCTTTTGGACTACCTCCTCACTCCTTCGGCCTTGGGGAGTTTTTCTACCACCACTTTGCCCGTGATCCCTACGAGATACAGTACCACAATCATGCAGTGGGGACGAAACTACATGGTTTGAAGTTTGCAGGAGCACCAGATGCTCAAACTGGATCTGGGCAGATAAGGTCAGACCAGGCACCAAGTGCCGCAAGTGTGGAACCTGGTGGCCGCAAGAGACCAGCGCAGGCAAGGGCAAAGGCCAGGGACATGGACAACCACGAGACTACGGTCATGGCAAAACCACATGGCCACGAAAGCAACCGGGAGAGCAGCTTTGGGACACACCGGATCAACCCACAGCAGCTGAACTCCTGGCCACAACCTGGGACGTCATCCCAAAATCCATACAGACCAAGCTGCAAGCCTTGGGCTTTGGTCCACCACCACCGCAGGAGGAACCTGAGCTAACAGAATTGCTCAAGTCCCACATGACCGCCTTGCCACAAGCAGTACAAGATGTTGTGACAAAGCTCACCCAGCCCATTCCGGGCACCGAGAGCGATTGCTCAGAAGCTCAAGACCCAGGTCACCGAGTTGAAGTCAGTCTCAATTCGGAAAACCCAGCTGCAGACCAAGCTTGACCAGGTCAAAGCTCAGTATGCCTCCATGCTACAGGACATGCAAGACTTGCAGAGCAAGCTAACAGAAGGACAACAACGCCTCAAGACCCTATCCGACCAGTACATGAAGGTGGTCAACCAGACACCCATGCCAGAAGAGCTGGATAAGGACACCAGCAAGGATTTTCCCATACCCATGGCTGTAGAGACTTTTGTTTCAAGTTCAAGCCTGGGCATTGCACTGACGGAAGAACAGAGATCCCAACTGCATGGGCTACTCAAACGCCCTGATGCAGATGAGGATGAGATCAACAAGCATACATACATCCATACATACATACATACATACATACATACAGACACATACAGACACATACAGACACATACAGACACATACA